CATTTTTTTTTTTAAGTTGCTTACAAAGTGAAGTTGATGGCTTTCCCAGATGCCCTGCAATCAGACAAGGCTACAAACACCCAGAAAGCCCAAATGAATTGTATACAAATGTTCTTCGGAAAGGTTAAAAACGACAACAGGAAATTAGGGAATTGTGAGGAAAATGGAAAATCCTTAGCTTATTTAAGAAGATGACAGGCTGGGAGTCCCCAGTCTCTTGCTTCTCTGCTAAACAAAGCTACTGTTAAAGAGAATGTGGACCAAAATGTGGCTACACCTCTTTCAAGATGGCAATCTTCAGGGGCGCCTGGGTGGCTCAGTTGGTTAAGCGACAGCCTTCGGCTCAGGTCATGATCCTGGAGTCCCTGGATCAAGTCCCGCATCGGGCTCCCTGCTCGGCAGGGAGCCTGCTTCTGCCTCTGACCCTCCCCCCTCTCATGTGCTCTCTCTCTTTCATTCTCTCTGTCTCAAATAAATAAATAAATAAATAATCTTAAAAAAAAAAAAAAAGATGGCAATCTTCAGAAAGTAAAGGGCTCAGGTGGGAAGCACAGAGGAGCAGCCAAAAGAGTACTCGAAGAAGACAAGAAGTCAGTTTCCCATAGAAAAGTATACAGCAGACCAAACTTGCCTCAAGTACACCCATTGACTTTATTGACTTCGACTGAAGTTACTTGAAGGTACTCCTTAAGAGTATATATCCCAAGGGCGCCTGGGTGGCTCAGTTGGTTAAGCGACTGCCTTCGGCTCAGGTCATGATCCTGGAGTCCCTGGATCGAGTCGAGTCCCGCATCAGGCTCCCTGCTCGGCGGGGAGTCTGCTTCTCCCTCTGACCCTCCCCGCTCTCATGTGCTCTCTCTCATTCTCTCTCTCTCTCAAAAAAAAAAAAAAAAAAAAAATCTTAAAAAAAAAAAAAAGAGTATATATCCCAATCCATGTCCATGGCAGGGAAATAGCATGCACTTAGTATAGACATAAAGAAACCTACTTTGAGTTCCTCTACCCCATCTTCCCACGTATTTGTCCTGCTGACGCCACTGGGCTTACACACCCAGGCCCCTCCTGTTCCTCTGGAAAAACTCACCTCTACAGACCTTTCCCACAAATTATCTATTTCCCCCCTCTGTGCAATGCCAAGTCCAAGGAGGAACTGAAACCAAAAATTCAGTGAAATTAACATTTAGACCATTGAATCTCAACCCTGGCTGCACAACGGAATCATCTGGAGAGCTTTGTAAAATGCCCATGCCTGGCTCCCACTCCAGACCAAATAAATCAGTAGCTCACACTGGGACCAGAGCACTGGCATGTGGTAAAAGCTGGTGCAGGTCAAGACATCCTCCGACTCTGAGAGTGGTATCAGTGATTCTCAAACTTGGTTCAAATTCAAAGCTCTTTTCTTCGAATTTCAACTCTTCTGGAGCCCCGGATTCTGGTTGCATATTTTGGGGAGGTCTAAAAAAAAAAGCCCAATGGCCAAACTGCACCCTGTATCATCAGTTAAATCAGAATTCCTGGGGGTGGGAACCAGATACCAATATTTTTTAAGATTTCTTCATTGCCTCCGAAGTTTAGCCAAATCTGAGAAGCAAAGAGTTAAAGGACAACAATCTAACCCAAACAGCAGGATCTGTGTGGGGCACCTGAAAGAGAGAAAGCTTCCAAGTGAGGGACAGGAAACCAACAGAGTTTGGCTGGAGCCTAGCTGAAGGTATTAACAAATCTAAAGATAGAATGATTAAACCAAGGGAGGAGGTCTGCATGGAAAGAGAAAGTGGGAGTCAGAGGGGAAGAGCTCGCCAAGGGGAGAGGGCATGCGTGAGCTGACAGGAACATCCAGTCCTATCTGTTTGGCAGGTTCATCTCCCAAGAGGAAATGAAGACATGAGCTTAAGAAAATGTGACACCCTTTGACATTAAAACCATCCCTCTAAAATCCCCTGCTCAGGCTGTGTACTCAAGCTGTGTTCTCATTACCATTTGTCTTCCTATTTTGTTTTGTACTGGGAGAGAATGTGTTAGTCAAGGTGACACAAATGTCCGCTCTGCTTAGAAGTTCTCATTTCTCATCACACATTAATAAATTGTGATTTTGGTTTATACGGCCATCTCTTGAGAGCTTGACTGATGTGAATCTGTTCCTGAGAACTTGATCCATCTAGCATGTTGATATAGTCTAGTGTCCAAGTCTGCAAAGCAGTTTCATCAACATAGCATCATCTCAAAATTCCTGGGGTTTAGCATAAAGCTTTTTTTGTGGTTGTCTTCACCAGGACGGGAGATCCTGGAAGACAGGGGTCAATGTTTTATTCTTCTGTGTATCACTGATACCCAGCTTAGTGCTGGGATATTAGAGGCCATGGTGAGTGTCTAGCTATTTACACCCATGTCAGTGGTCATGCCCCTTCCACACAACGTGAGCTCTGGTCCTGGAGCAGAGTCCTAGAGGCCCCTGTGGGGCTAAGTGCAAATCTTGTAGGTACTTGATCTTGGGAATTCAGAGGGTGCTTGGTCTTAGGGAATTCGGGAGGTACAAGGGGATTGATATGTCTGGGGCAAACAGGGATACTGGGAAGGCTCAGGATAGTGACATTTAACCATCAGTATGGAAGTATTTTGATGTTTTAAAAACTAGGAGATACAATCATACTGGTGCATAACAGCTAAATATCAGCTTTGTTTGTAGGTAACAAATATTTGTGGATTAAATGAATACCTTTCACTAAAGCATCGTCCCCAGTGTTGGTGGTACTCCACTATCTGCCCACCCCCGCAATGTGGGAGACTTTCCTTCCCAGAGCACCTTGACACCAGACCCATGCAGAGTGTGACTAAGCGTGGCCTTGGCTTTAGATCACATAACCTTGGGAGCCGGTTGGGTCTGGTGCCTGGGACACAAGAACGAGAAGAGAAAGGAGTGTGGCCTCCTCGCAGGATTAGTAATACAAAGCCCAGGCTTGTTTTAACTTTAATTTACAAAGAAGCTACAAAGGCCCTAAGGCCTTTGCAACTGTGAAACTCCCTTGGCAAAATCACCGCTCTTCTCATGGTATTTGAAAGCTGTGCTTTAATAGGAAAGCAAACAAAACAAAACAAAACAAAACAAAACAAAAACCATTACTCTAATATTTGTGGCAAGACAGCCTGATCAGATGAGAACAAAACTTCCAATCCCCTTGCAAGTGGAATCTACTGTGATTTCCTGAGAAAGCGACTGTCTAAGAAAGGCCTCTTTAGCATTCTACTCTTTCTCCTACGGTTGATGTTCTGTGACAAGTGATGCTGGGGAATGTCACTGGGTGAGAACACTGGAAAACACTTGTTTACCGTGTCATTCCTGCTTTGTCATTCGGGTGGTGACTTGTCCATTTCCCTCCTCAGGGCACCTTAAAGGGACATGTGCAATCAATGACGTGGAAAGATCTAAAGAGCTCTTTATGGTTAATTGTACTGTTATTGTTAAATATGAAAATGTGTCTGTTCATAGTTCATCATGTTATCCAGTTTGGGCCTTTCAGACCTTTCCCTGGCTAGCTTACTCTCCCCCTGCCCCCGCTCCCCACTGCCCGTGCCCCTAAATTTTAGGATCGATGTGCCTCCTAAGATAGTTTATAGTTTCACTAATACACAAATTATTTCATAGCTTCTGGGTGCATATAGTTAGGAGAAGGGCTATTTGGTGCCCACTAATGATACAGAAGAGATGTCTAAGCGGATGGACAGGTACCTACCTTGGTATGGTACCAAAATACATCTAGAACAACCCTGAAGGTGGGCCACAACAGCAAGACATTTGTTCCCCAGTTACCATTTTGGTGTCATCTTCCGGCCATCTGAGAAAGCTCTCCGGCTGACATATAAACAGAAAAGATTTCATTACCCAAAAGGAAAGATCTCTTCTATCGTGAGAGCCCGGAGTGAAAACAGCACGTGAACTCAGGGCTGCCAGTGTTGTACCCCCCGTGCCAACTGGTTCAATGGGCAGAAGTGAGAATGTTAATAAACACTCTAATGAAAGGAAGTTGTTGGATAGTAATTAACATATGTCATTAGTATCTGTCCCTTTGGCCAGACACTGCAGACAGGCTGAAACCATACATACAAATGAGCGTCTGCTGGGACCGTGCGGGGAGGAAGGGGGGACAGTGTCATTGTGAGCGGCTGGTGTTGTCAGGAGCTTTAAATCACAGGCCACTTAGTAACAAAAACAGGGAAGGCTTTTGTGTTCCAGAACAGTCATGTGACTGAAAGTTTTAAAATTTTAATAAACATTTTTTCATGCTTGTTTACTTTTCTTTCACCTCAAAACATACTGTTTATAGTTCTTTTTTTTTTTCCCCTCTTTTAAGGAAAATACTGACTTAGCTCTTTTTGGTTTTGTTTTTGTTTTTTTAAATCAATGAGTACAGGACTGCAACTTAGGGCGTTTTGTGTTTAAACCACAATTTCCTAATCTCTCCAGGAAGAGAGGTGATTACGTTGAGTCTCATGGGCACCCTGTTAGTTGTATTTCTCAAGATTTACATTTTCCCTTTCTGGTTGACCTAAAATGGCTTATAAATCATACCAACTATGTCCAAATGCTGCCTCTCACAACACAGTGTAAAGTCAAAGCTGAAAACACAGACGCCAGTCCTCTTCAATTGCCTCTTTTTGCAATGGGAAACTGAGGCCTGCAAAGGTGAACCAATGTCCCTTAAATCACAGGCCTAGTCTACTGACCATTAGTCAAGCTTTTTTTTTTTTAGGTCCTAGGCCACACTGTCTCTCCCACTTTGACCAGGACTCAAAGAGGCATTAAAAAGAGACCAAACCACATTTGGATCCTCCTTCATGTGCGTTGATTTGCTGGGAGCACACACATTTGGGGGGAAACTCAACATTTCAGAAATACCAGGAGCAGTGAAGCTTGGTGCTATTTGGCAGTGAGATGTTATGAGGAATTAAAAGTAGAAAACCTAGCAGGAACAAAGGATAAGCAGAAAAAGAAAAGAAGTCAAAATCAGAGAGATTACAGTAAAATATGAGTTGACAAGGAAGATGAACACCACAAATAAGAAGGTAGCAGCCTCTGGAAGAGTCGGCTGTGAAAGTTAATAAATAATTTTCCCAGGAATTAATTTGAATGACTGAATTGAGGCATTTGCGATAATTAAAGTTGGCTGAAATCTATCGTTGTGTTGTCTTTGAAGAAAGAACTTATTAAACCAATTAAAGAATAAACAAAAGTATAGACAAATTAGTTTAACTTACTTAAGATAACAAAATAACTTTCGAGCATTGTGTGAGCTTTAATTTTTTAATGCATTGTGCTGCCTTAAATGAGCCCCGTCTATTTGCTCAACCAGACCCAGAAAAACCTTCATTTGTGTCTGTTCAGTGGTGCTAGTTCACTTCCCAACTGTCAATGAAAAATAAAGGGCTCTATTTGGGGAGGGGTTAAAATCCCTTCTTGTAGGACATTCTGTAGGAGGGGACAGCCGGTCTCACTCGCTACACCCCAGGGAACTCTGTCAATCCCTTAGACGTCTGAGGGAAGAGAAGAGAATTCAAGGCTGTCGGAACGTGGTGGGCTCCTGGAGAACCTTCGAGCTGCCTGCAAGGTCCATTTCAGGAAGTTGCAGCCCTTCTCTAATCAGATTGGCCTTTCTCTCAGCCGATGACATCATTTATTCACTATTGTATTTGTTCAAAGAACTCGTATTGAGCACCTTCGTGGTGCCAGATGTGGTGCCGGACAGCGGGCCTTCGTTTTTGATTGTGACAGAATGTGACAGAATGGGCGTCTGTCCTTATGTAGCTTTTCGCTGCTTTCTGCGCTTGCACCTTGGTCAGGTTCCATATCAGATCATAGCACCCGGAGGTGTGAGTTTCTTGCTTTGGAAGAAGGACAGAGGAGCAGTCAAAAGAGGGAAGATTTCAACAAGGCATTTATGCTGTCAGTCTGTGGGCCTCACCATGCCCCACACAGCCCTGGGGAGAGGGTATATGATAATGCAAAGGTTCATAGACCGGAATACAATGTTAGTGCTTATAAAGACGCTGGACATCATGTGCTACAACCCTCTCATTTAACAGATGGGGACACTGAAGCACAGAGAAGGAAACAGCTCTCCTTGAAATTGTCTAGAAGGTTCAGGGCTCTGTCTCCTATACCAACTTTGCACAGAGACAACCAACTAAATCTTGCTTCCAGCAGGAACTCTGGGAGAGTCCGTAGCTATGTATTAGGAGAAAAGATGAATGGAGACAACTTTACATAAAAAATGGAACAAAATGGGCGCCTGGGTGGCTCAGTTGGTTGAGTGACTGCCTTCGGCTCAGGTCATGATCCTGGAGTCCCGGGATCGAGTCCCGCATTGGGCTCCCTGCTCAGCAGGGAGTCTGCTTCTCCCTCTGACCCTCCTCCCTCTCATGCTCTCTGTCTCTCATTCTCTCTGTCTCAAATAAATAAATAAAATCTTTAAAAAAAAAAAAAACAGAACAAAAGAGCAACTTAAGGACATCCTTCAAAATTGTTTATGAATGCTTATAAAAACAAGGGTGCTGATTGGGGGTCCCTTCTGGAGGCTCAAGTGTGAATTGAATTGAACACATAAAATACCGTCAGGGTGGGTTGGCTTCGACATGGGGAAGTCCCAAGCTCGAATCCTCTCCTGAAGGGGTTTCTACCAGGAGAGAAAACCATTTGACACTGATTCAGGGGCAATGGTGATTAGGCAGGTGAGTGAATGCACAGGTTCCTTGCTAGGGTTGTATTACTGTGGGCTTGGTAAGTCACCAGTGCACATTCCGCAGCTGTGGGGACAGATCCTAACAGAGGACACTGACCGTTCCTCTCTCTAGGTTTCTGAGGCCCTCTGTCATTCCAACACCTTTCTGCCCAGGGACTGTCCTCTTTCAAGGATTCCCTGCTGCTGCAGTTGCTATTAATTGCAAACATAACATGCAATTACTATAACAAATTCAAATAACCCAGAAAGATAAAGAATAAGAACTGAACATTATCCTTCCCTTTCCCCCACTTTGTGCTTCCCCTCCAATTCCTTTTCTTACAGGTAACTGCTGCTAACATTTAATGTACATACTCCTCCAAAAAAAAAAATACATTACATATATGAATGTGTAAATATACATGTGTGTATATATATGTGTGTGCAGATACACGGTTTATGTTTTTTATGTATGTGCACTTACATAAAAAGCTTTTCCCAACATAAATTGTATCATACCATATGTATTGTTTTGCAACTTGCCCTTTTCCCTAACCTACATATTATGCATATTTTCCCATGCTGGTAGCATATATTACAAGATAAGTGTATACTCCAGTTTATTTAATGAGTACCCAACTAATGAACATTTAGGTAGTTTCCAATTCTTTACTTTAAAAAATAACCTCCAGGGTTGCCTGGGCGGCTCAGTCGTTAAGCGTCTGCCTTCGGCTCAGGTCATGATCCCAGGCTCCTGGGATCAAGCCCCGCATCGGGCTCCCTGCTCGGCGGGAAGCCTGCTTCTCCCTCTGCCTCCGCCTGCCACACCCCTTCCTTGTGCTCTCTCTCCCTCTGTCAAATATATAAATAAAATCTTAAAAAAAATTAAAACCAAGTTCATGTAATGAGTTTCATTAACATCTCACTGGAAATGAGGTGTGTGTACAAACAGAGCGGCCGAGCTCTCCCATGTCTATCTCACTGTGAACTCTCCATAAATATTACACCAATCACAGAGGCTCCGCTGAGCTGCCCAGGGAACATGTGTTCATCAGACCTCCACTTTGTACAACATCCTGAAAGCTTAACCAAAAAGAATATGACACAGTCTCTGCCCTCCAAAACCTTGGCCATAGTGGAAAAGACAGACAAAAAACACCAACTAACACATGCAAAATGAATTAAGTGTGCCATTGAAGAATAAGCAAAGAGCATGCGTAGGGCACAGGGAAGCTTTGCATTCAAAAGAGAAGTCACCGGAATGTGGGTTTGAACAAGAGCTTGAGCAGAATTTGGATGGCAGGGTGAGTGGTGGAAAGGAGAAGTTTCAGGTTCAGGAATAAGGACCCGGGCACGAATGCAGATAACCATGTAAGGAGCAGTGAACAGTGAGTGATGCCCTGTCTGGGAACCAGAGGCTACGGAGGGAGGGATCTAGTATGAGGCTGGAAAGACACTTGGACTCGGACTGTCGAAGGCTGTGAATGGGACAGTAAGGCGTTTCTGTGCTATTCTGTAGGCAGTGGTGTTTGCAGTGGGTTTAGGAATGTGCTCCATCCCATGCTTTGGGAAAATAATCTGAGATGGATCATTAAGAGAAACAAAAGACTGAAGGCAAATGGTTGGGAGATTTTTTTTTTTTGCAGTAATCCAAGGGGGAAATGATGTGCCAGCTCAGGTCCTCTGGGGAGCAGATTTGTCCATCCATGTCAGAGTTGAGTTTCAAATATCAGCTCTTAAAAACTGGTCATGTGTCCCAATGCATGAAGAATATCTCGTGCTGCCACCAATAAAAATGAAAATGTGGCACTATTTGGAGAGTGTTTGGTTATAGAAGGTATGAGAACTGGAAAGAAGAAGAAACTTTTGGCCTTTCTCTTATCATCCAATGCCCCATCATTGCAGTCAGCGTCTATCCCTCTCTATGTGGCATAATGACTTTTCTAGAATTTCATAACAATGAAATGTTAAATTGGTGTCTCTGTTTTAGTTATCTTGCCAACAGGTAAGAACTGCCCTATCCTCCTAGCTCTCTTACCCAATATTCAGCAAGCATCAAACTATATTTGCACTCTCTGTTTTCCTACTCTTTAATATCGAGCACTAACAAGCATTGTACGTGCATTATCTAATTTTATTCTTCAAAACTGTTACAAGTTCATCAAAAATTTAAGTACCCACTATGAGCTAGCCAGTGGGAATATGGTGATTTTAAAATGATGCAGTCACTGTTCTCATGGAGCTGAACTGACATTCAAGTGAGAAAAAGAACAGAAAATGCACGCATAGCTCTGTAACATAATATCGGTGGTGGTGAAAATGAGGTGGAGAAATGAAGCAGAGGAAGGAGATGAGGGGGATGGAGAAGGATGACGGGGGTGTTGGGGAAGGGAGGGTGAGCCAGGAACAGGGGTCTGGATTAATGGGGGAATGACCCATGCACAAATCTGGGGGAAGAGCATTCCAGGCAGAGGCAACACCTGTTGAAAGTCTACCCGGACACTAGGCTTCAAACTGTCTACTGAGGTGAGACTGAGCAAGTGTAGAAGGAAAAGCAAGGAGGCCGACATGGCTGAAGTAATGTGAGCAAGAAGCAGGGTGGGAGGTTGGATAGGATCCTGGGGCCAGGTCACAGGGGGCCTTGTAGGTTTGGGGATTTTGTTCTGGGTATGATCAGATGCCACTGGAGGATTTTGAGTAGAGAAGTGACATGATCTGGTTCACAATTATGATGCCTATTTTACAGATGGGGAATCAGGCTCAAAGAGGTACATTCCTTGCCCAATGTCATACAGCAGGTAAGTCTTAGAGCCTAGGCTCACATCGCGTCATTGTGTTCTCCTTCCTCACACAACCACCGGTCGGCTCAGCTCACACCTACCTTCAGTTCCTACTCCAAGCAGGAAACCTAAAGCCCATGGAGCTATCGTTCCCTGCAGTCACTCTCTTGACCACTGAGCCCCGGGACCTCTGCCTGCCTTGACGCATGCCAGACCCATCTGGTCTGACCTCCAAAGCCTCGTCTTACCTCTGAACACAGTGACTTCCTGGTTTCTCAGCCTTCGGCTGCTTAACCTCCACAACCACTTCCAGGACTTGAGGAAAAGTGGCAATGGTGTGGGCAGTGGCCTTAGAATGCTTGGTTTCCAGACCCAGCTCTGCTCCATGTAGCTGTGTGGCCTTGGGCAACTGAGTCAGCCATTCACAACTTCAGCCATTCAACCGGGCAATAATGCAGAACCTCAGTATTTGTGAGGAACGAGTGTCTGGCACAGGCTGGGTGCTCAGCAGAACTGAGAAGGGAGCCATTCTTCTCGACTGTCTTCGACGCTTCTGTGTCTGACATAGGGTCTGGTTGTCTGCCCTGCTCCCCTGGTAGGTCCAGGTCCCTACTGCAACCAGCTCCCTCTAATATTGCACATTTCAGGTTGATCAGGTAGAAACCTTGGAAAAATACTTAGAGGAGGAGGAGAGAAGTGGCTTCACCAGGAAAAAAAGTCAAGTTGTACATCTCTTTTCATTTTCATTCAAAATGATTCTAACAACAACTCTGGAGCCACATTCTCATTTTTAGGATATATTGAACTCTCAGTGTATAGGAAAAATGTGACATGTTTTATAGATCTCTAAAAAATAGGACTGAATATTCAGGTGTCAACTAATTGACACTAAAGAATATATAGTAGATGTGAGGATTAATAGGACCATCAATATCCAAGGACTTTGTAAATCTCCACAATATGTTACTGTTACTCCTATCCCTATATTTGTTGTGGATATTGTTGCCAACCCAACTTCAATTATGTTAATATTGGGAATATGAAATTCAATGTTTTTTCCATGAGTTATTTGGGGAAAAAGGTGTGATTGAAGTCTAAATAAATACATATACCACCCAGGAACAAAAAAAAAAAAAAAAAAAAAGAATATATAGTAGGTTCTTAGAGTTCTCAGAGTTACTCAGAGTTATTTAATTACCTCCATGGACGTTTGGTGGCAGTTTCTTGAAAATTTACCCATTTTTAGGGCTAGTGAATAGCATTTAGAATATAATTTATGTGTTATCATTGAACTGAGAGTGTCATGCAGAGGAGTACCTCCATGATTCTCATCTTTTAAAAAACTTTATTTTTGTGTAATTTTAGACTTACGAAATTTGCAAAA